GACATTTGAGTTTCGAGTCATCACGTATGCTTGTCTCAACTGAATGTAGATCAATGCAAGGTAAAAAAAATTGTTGAAATAGTTTGGAGAATGAAGTGATTTGTATCATGAGGAAGACAAATAAGATAAGTCAGTCAAGTCTTGCGAGGATTGAATTCTTCACACTATCGTCAAAAAGCACCGAATTAAGGAGAAAACATGTTGCAGCGTATATGAGGTTTCGCATATGTTATCAAGATCTAGTACGTAGCTGGTAACTAGTTTTACGAACATCATTGTGAGTTGAAACAGCTAGCGTTATCCTATGGGTCTGATTAGAAGCAAGAAAGAAGCAGCGTGAATGTAAGGAGAAGAGAAAAAATTATAGAGTTTGAAGGCATAAAATGGTTGAAGTGTAATTGTGGCCGTATGATAGCTGATTCACCACTACCAGAGAGCTACAAATGATCTTCAGAAGTTACCAAACTGTAGCATACTGGAATCTGTGTCTGTTAGCTTTTGCTGAAGACATCAGAAATCAGCATCGTGCGAATGCGTGTGAAGCGCACAAACCTTACTTTTTAGATATATTGTACACTCTTCGTGTAGTGCTGAGCCATTTATCAACTCTGTCGTTCGGGAGTGCTCGCACAGACATTGAAAGTGATTCAAAGTGACGTGTTGTTATAATCACTATTACAAATCTGCTTTTGGCAATGACAATTGAGTTTTCGTAAAGGAATGTGTATACTCGATCTATCCACGCCACATTTCATTCCATAATACTGCGAATATAGCAAAACGAAAGAGAAGGTAGTAAATAAAGCGAACGAATCATAAAACGAAATTGCATGAAAATGAATGGAAATCAAGAAACAATCAGCAAATAAGATAGGAAGTTTGAAGAAGAAAGACCATCGAGACTGCGCCAGATGGAATAGTTCGAAAAGGTTGAAACGCCTTCGTATAGGTATTTAACACAGCGTTTGGCACATGGTGATTTCCTCTTTGGCCAAATAGTTTGTTCTTTGATGCGAGCGAATTTATGGTTATCGTTCTCAGCATCTCGCTTGTTTTTTGGTTATCGGGGCTTTCCTTAGCGGTGGCTATAATCTCGTGGTCTCGTCATCGATCCTCGCAAGACAATTTTTTAGTCGACATAAGTAGCTAACGATTCAGAAGCGGAACTGCGGGACACTTTTTGTTCCCCGTATTCCTCTGTGTCGTCACTTACGCATTCAAAGTCATGGACCTCAATTAACCTGATGAGCTCCAGATGCAGATCGATTATACTTTCCGATATAATCGAACACTTGGCCTTTTCGTGGTCATTTTCCCTTCGAGGTTTTGCCGAAAAGAAGGGCAAA